AACTAATTATTCATTTTAAAAATCTGTGAAAACGTTTTTCATTCATTTATTTCTAGTTTATTTGATAATACAATATATTTGAATACCGCTGACAATCAATATGGTGTACAATATTTAATACCAGTACATTACAACATTTAATAAGTAAGATTTGTAGACCACTTCACACAATATAATCCATACTTTAAAACTGAATTATCTTACGAAATGCTACGAAAACAAAATTTTCTGTTTATATACTATAGAATTTAAGTTAGATTTTAAAAATAAATTAATGTTAGCTATATAAAACTTTAATTTTAATAATCATACAAAGTACTTTTAATATAATAAACATTGAAACACCTTAGTAAATTATAATTCTATAGGAATACTAATTATAGCGATATTCTTGCCGGTATTACCGGTAGTTAACCGTAGCGTTAAGAGTACTCAAGAATTTTTGCTCAACAAAAAAATGAATTTTATTTTTGTATTTTGTGCTAAAAATTCTTTGCCTAAGAAAATACATCTCAAGAATACACGTCTCAAGTATTTAAGGATACTTTACAACGAAATTGAATTCTGTTTATAATATATGAAAGATTTATGTATATGTAATGAAATGTAGATAACCAAGGTAGAACGTACAGATACTAACTTAAAATGAAAATACCGAATATTTTCTAAATTAGTTCAATAAATAGTTTAGATTTTAGATACAAATTGTATCATACAATGAACTACAGTAGATTCCGTAAGTTATTGTTAACATTAGTTTATGAAACAGTTAAAAAGTTATCAATTTTTAAGATATTTTAACCTAGAATATTCTTGGTGTTTATAATCAGACAATTCTTATATCTTATGTGCTTAAGCCTTATGTCCATATTATTAGCTACTCTGCCAAATCTCATCCCTGGGCATTTATTGATCACATGTCTTAAGCAAAAGCTGTTGCATTACATGAATGGTAGACCCGTTAACACTTGACCCCATTCTCAACGGGGAATTGATTTTGTATTTGAAAACAAACTTTCCATTCATTACTCCAATTCATAGCATAATTGGAAAATATTTTAATTCAAATCTAAAGTCTATGGGAAAACAAATGAAACAAATTTCAAGTTCACTGACAAATAGACAGACAGACAAAACGCCAGTTCCTCTATTCTTGCGTCAAAATCGATAGTTAACTACAATTGCCGTACAATCGAGAGCTCCAATAGCGAACTACGAGAGCGCCTGTATGTCAGTGCCGGTGATACTGTCAGTGTTTGCATGTTTTATACACTAAAGAGTATTGGACTCAACCACCACTTGGCTGCCTGTGCTCTCACCTATCACTCCATTCGGCACTCACTGTCATTGAAAGGGAAAGCACTGGGAGTCTAGAAGTTGGAGAATATTATGGCTCACCCTGTGTTATGCCTACTGAGTGGCACTGGAGGCTCAAGAATCGACTGATCATACATTCGCATGACTACAGCACTCATCGAAAGGTGGTGTCACTCGTGAGGCCGAGCGGTGGTTGCGTTGAGCGCATACAGCAGTGCCTGAAGTGAGTGGTGGTGTGCAGTGTCTGTCGGTCACAGCACTGGTAGTCGAGAGCCTGTTATACACAGTGAGGCAAAAGGCCGGCGCTGTATGACTCGAACAGATGTGTGAGTCGATTGTGGGCTAACTTTTTATCTCCCATTCCCTCACCAGAACTCTCTCTGATTGCCATAACATTGGCCTTAAGTCTAGCATAGAGTACACGTCCTATTGTTGTGCACAACACAACACACATACCATTCCTTCATAAGTATACGATTAGAGCTCCTGTAGCTCTAAGAGTAGGGGCCAGTGATCCCAGTGCTCTCACGCGAGTGGAGAAAAGTTTTTCTTTTCTCATATTTTTCGTAGTCATCGGTGTTTTCGGTAAGTGTTTGTATTTTGTTTGCTATAAAAATATGTTTTTATATTACATTTTTCGCCAAACATTACATACATTTGTATAATTTATTATCGATACAGAAAAACTTTGTCACTATTTATTTGTTTTGTGTATTCAATACTCATTTTTCACTATCTCTATGCACATCTCATTACTGGGTAATCAATAGTGAATTAATAGGTATTTATTATGTATTTTTCTAACTATGCAAACAATTTTGCGAGGGCATAACCATGAGCACTTATCTATTTATTTATCAGTCCAGTCACTCATGCTTTTTAGACTATCGTATGATTGTATGTCATAAGCGTATTGTGTACTCAATGGTATCAAATACAGTGAACTTTTTGCCATCACGTAAATAGTGTGCACAGGATTTGACTGATGATAATCACCTCCATATGTCTGTACACTATACGAGCGTAGAGTTCACTGTATTTATGACATGTATTGCGAAATATAAGTCTAATGTCTTATATTATTGTTTGTGTCTAAGTCTCAAATAGTTATCAAAAACTTTTTACTCCAAAACAAATTGTCTCATAAGAGAGAGAATTAAATTTTTTAGACTTAAAAATAGTTTATATTTTAATGAGTTTTATTTATACGATATGTTTTGCTTCACAATGGATATAGAGGTTTAATGTTATGTTATTTTATTTTTAGCCTTTTTTATTATTATATAAGAGTTGCTGGTAATAATAATGTAATGTTTGTGTGGTTTATATTATAAAAGTTGTTATGCAATGCCATTCAATGGTAGTATGGGTTGAATTATTAGCGTTGAATATGTGAACCATAAGTGAGAGATCAAAAAACTTGAAAATCAACTCATGATTTGTTTTAATGAAAATCTCTTTTGATTTTGTTTTTGTGTTTCTAAATCTCCTGAACTTCAAAAACTCGATTAATGTCTCGATATAGTGAACATAAAATATCTGATTTTATGTCTGTTTTTGCGAGAGAGAGAGAGAGAGAGCACTGAATAGAAGACTTATAAATCTTTTGTAAAGTTTACGATAATTAAGATTTTTTTATTTGAAAAACGGATTTCCTGCTCATTAATCAGATCGTACATGTAATTATCTTGGTATTTTCTCGGCCCCAAAGCTGGAATTCATTATAAAATTGCCTTGATCAATATTTTCCACGCTCATTATAACCACAATAACTTATACTAACTTTTTTTTCATAACACAATCGCTACGAGTAGTGCATAATTTATAGCTCAAGAATTTTTATGTTTAAAATACTACTTATTGTTTCTTATGATAAATACATTATTTTATTATATTCTCGCGTTTTGTCGGTAAAGGTCTGACACATTCATAAACTCCCGGTTCCTTCACTGGCTGTGTTTGGCACTGGTTTTTAAGTATAAGTTTTTCATACATTCAGAGTATAATAATAAGTGGTTCTCTCCTGACTTCGAGGGTTCACTACACACCGTACGTACAGTACAGCCGCCATATAATGTACATAATATGACAACAATTTTCTACACACTATCGTCAACTCGCATATCAAGACATTAATCGAGTTTTATATGCTATCGATAATCATTACCACAAAAAAATCTCATAATAATATACAATAAATTATTTTGGTATACCCTATGATCAGGGCTAGTGTTCACTGTACGTACGAAGTCGTACAACATTTTTGTACTTTTTTTTCTTTTTCTATCCTAAAGCACTAGTGCTGTCCATTTCCTCCCGGTGCCTCCAAACGCTCTCTCCCTCGCCAACAAACCTCTCACTAATTCAACACACATTACACTCCCCATTGAAAAGCCAATGCATATATGCGGTGCTTATTATACACTGTATATGTGTGTGCTTTCTATTAGTACAACTATTTTAGACTTTAATATCAAACTTAACGAAAAGAAATTCTTACAATTCATTTGTTTCGTTATATATTTTTTGAAGGCTAACCACTGGCGCACCGGTAGGTCGACCACCGCCTCTCTCTCGCATAGCTAACTGACTGACTGACTGACGAAGAAGACACTGGCGTTTGTGTGTCAGTTCATTGGAATACCTGTCCTTTAGTAGGCATTTCCACCACAAAAGTAAAGCTTTTATTTTTGGCGATACAATGAAGGACTTGAGCCAAACGGCGAGACACCAGTCCTACTCATCTAACTCGTCAGCGGTGTCACCCAATGGACAGCCGTCTGAGTTGTGGCCGATTGGTGTCAAACTGGGTATCGTCCGATTGGGACGGGCGGCCGGAAAGGTATGTCTAGCGAGCGAGTAGTTCACTCATAATTCACACGTTAATCGTCTCACAAACACAATTCAATTCTGTATTATATATGCCTTTTGTGCGAAAAATTATTTTTCAAATTTAATTATAATTTCGTTTTCTTCTAATCCTATCCAAGTGTAACATTTAGAGAGAGATAGAGAGAGAGAGAGAGAGAGAGCTGTTTACTCAGACTATGATTACGCGAGTGTCGGGTTGAGGTCATTCCTCTTCTTCTCTCTCCTGCGCTCTCTTTCTTTCTCTCTTTTATACCAAAACTCCAGAGCTTTACATAAATAAAGTCTATGTCTGTCTGTGCTCTCTCTCTCTCTCTCTCTCTCTCTCTCTCTCTCTCGTGTTATCTATGGCTATGTCTGTGCTCTCTAAGCTATTATCACGGGTTATGTCTATGTCTTTGCTCTCTCCTTCTCTCTCCAATGTCTATGTCTACTCTCTCTTTCTCTCTCCCCTATTATCAGTGGCTATGTCTACACCATTGCCATCACATTATCAATGCTCAAGCATTTGAAACTCTAATCTTAGCCCAGAATCTGATGTCACAAAATATTCTCCACATGTATTCAGACAACATAACACACAAACTCTGTATAAAACAGTTTTGCGCTAAAATAGACTGATATTTGTGTCTCAAAACATAGATATTAATATATAACCGAAAAATCAATCGCAGACTAAAAAGTTTTTTGCCCCTAATTTGTCTGCACAGACGGCGCATTCATTTTCAATGTAATGGTGTCTTAGGGTTTGGGATCTAATCTGGCATTTAATTGGCAATCAATTTACTGTAATATACCGTATATATATTGCTTGTATGCACGAGCGTAAGGCGGGGGTGGGGGCGTACGTGAACGCCGGGGGTCTATTATACCCGCACAATATCCCTAATCATCGTTTAGTTTATTCATTATTCTGTGATTTATTTTTATTGTGAGAATTGGTTGCAAATATTTTCGTTAAGCACCAGAATTCGAGCACTAATACAGATTCTGTGTCACAGAATCTCAATAATAATAAATAGTTTAGTTTAATTGAAAGTAGATTTTTGTCTACAAATTACACCCCATTTAGTTATCTATAAAAAAAAAGTCTGTGACTCGTAATTGGGAGCAAATATTTTGCTTGTTTATATCAAATTAGCCTTATTTAGTGTGTATTTTATTTTTGAAAAGCAATCCATTATTTAATTTTCCAATAATGCTATTCATTATTATTATCTTTCCTCCATTGAATAGTTGAATGCCTTATGAAAAGCATAATTAAATGATTTTTTTAACAGAATATTTCTATTGTATAATTTAAATTAAATTTTTTGTATGTGAAACTAATTTATATTTGTAATTAAGTTTAATATACTGTATCGCATAAAAAACAAAGTTTATTTAAACAGAAATTATTTGATAACTAATTGTATTATTCCGTTATATTAACGACTTGTTTGCTATTAATCGTAATAATAAATAACAAAAATATTTTGCTAGTTAACTCTCTGCATATATGGCTAATAGTAGAGCACTTGTGTGTCCCAAACAAATCAATTGCTATAAGACTTAAAGACCATTAGTCTCTCGTAATGTCTGAAAGTGAAGAGCAATGGTATATACACACAGGCATTGAGAGGGAGAGAGAGAGAGAGAGAGAGAGAAGTGTTGCTATTCATTGATTTCTGGTTGCTATCCAATGCCCTAACCATTGCATCTTATATTGTATTTATGGTGTACTGTATTATATACAACACACTCACCGTCTCCCTGAGCCGTAGTCTATATCATCCGCCGAGTTCTCTGGCCTTTTGTATTACTGGTGCGCCTGTATGTATGCATGCGATGTCTATGTGTGCTATACTGTGTTTATGTGTTGGCACTGGTATTGAATTTGTGTGCTCTCGAAAAATCTAACTTAAATGCATTGTATGTATTAAAGCCTTATTGATCCGAAACCGTTAAAGCAATTGCTATACAAGTTTAGCGGGCAATGCATTAACGTTACGCCACAGTCTCTATCCATTTCCATCCCAAGCATCCATCAGCTCTCTCTCTCTCTCTCTCTCTCTCTCCTAACTGTCACTAACTACTGACTCAACGGAGCACTGGTACACTGGCTATACAATAGACTTAATACAACTGTGCAAATGACTCGCACACACACTTCACAACTAACTTATTATTATACAATAAACCGTAAAATACGGATAGAATAAAGAATATTCTTATCTCTGATATAATTTTGATTGTCAAAAATCATTGGCAAACATTTTCCATAAAAATTTTCCCGAAATTCTCGTGAGCTTTGACTGAGAAATGCATATAATTTTTATGGAAAAAAATTTGTGTTTCGTTATCATAGCTCTCTGTCTCTCACTTTAATTATATATTTTTTCTCGTATTAATGATTATAATTAAGAGAATATAACTTTTTTGTTTTGCCTTTTTAATTCCTAATAGTAATGAAGAGGATAACTTTTTTTTAATCACATTACTATAATATAAACTTTTATTCTCCATATAATTGAAAACAATTTCCACAAAACACTATATAATAGTCTCGGAAAAGCATTAAATATTTATAACGCATACACACTTCACCAGTATATATATACGTATAGCAAAAATTTCGATCAATAGATTAAAAACACTTCAAAATCATTGCTTTTTTAAAAAATGAAATAAAATAAATCTCGGCATTAGTTTTCGCACCAAAAAAACGGGTCTATAATTTGCACTCAAAGTGTGTACACTATTGAGAGAGAAAACCATATAATTTTTCATATTTTTATTGACTATTATGTCATGTATTCTCACAAATATTTGTATAGACTTTTATCAAAAATATTATTTATTTAATTACACTCTATTTATTCATTGATTTATGTAAACACTTAATGAATAATTGATATGTTGGCGTTTTTTAAATAATGCTTTTTTTCGGAGACTATTTTTCAAATATTGATGACCTTTTCATTGACTGATATCTGCCGACATTAATCCAAATAAAAGTCGTGATTAATAAAAGTTTGTTCTGTATAATACATATCGTGTGTAAAATTTATAGTCAGAAAAGGATATTGATTTCGATTTTCTTCTCTCTCCACTCAAAACTTTATAGATTTTTTTGGTTCAAAAACATCTCTCTCTCTCTCTCTCTCTCTCTCTCTCTCTCTCTCTCTCAGCCTCTCTTTCCCAACTCCTTGTCCTCCTATCAATCGATATCTCTATTTAATAATCAGTCACTATATCACCCGTATATGTGAACAATACGTACGAGTCATCGATTGAATTGTTTTGAGTCTCTTAAGCAGCATTTAATCAAAAACAAACGCAAACCTACACTATACACAAAATATCCAATCTATTCACTCGATACAAAAATTTAACAAACACATTTATAAACGTGTTAATCATATGTTTTTTGTTATTTTCACAGTTAAAGTATACGCTATTGGATGAGCACGACATCGTATTGGCCCGGGAGTACAGCTTCGAAGTAAGTCAATATCGCGCCGACACTGCATTTTACCATTGAGTTCATCGCCCTATACCTGATAATATGGAGGTCGACGGGGAGGGTGGGGTAACCCATGTGGACAACCATACGCTTGAGTGCACTTTTAAAGTTTATTGACAACAATTTTAAAACCATACACAAAATTAAATTTCATAACTCGTAACGCGATTTCATAACTAAGTTCTCGCACTGAATGTGTGTATATGTATTGACCCTAAGATATAACATTTTAAGCCATTTTGACATTTATATGTCTTTGCGGTGTAAATAATCTTTGGAAATGTGTTTTTATCAGAAATTCTCATATATTTTTCGCTTTTAAAAATTACTTTAAAAACACAGAATTTTTGTGCACATAATCTGACGAACACTGACTTCAGTGTATTATATATATCGATGTATTTACAGAATTAAAGAATATTCTCTCAAATCTTTTTTCTCAGATAGAAATTCACGCTTCGATTCCCTAATTATAAATTCCTTGACATTTAGGCCTTTTATGTCAACATATATCTGTAACCCCACTGCCACAACCCCGACCCCCCTCCCAAAAACAATAAGCCAATACTCGCTGCAAATCTCAATCGCGAACCGCATGTCTGGCGCTAAACGTCTTTATATCCAATCGATTATTGTTTTTATATATAACTTATGTCTTAATGAAAGGCATCGAGAAATAGTGGAAACAGAGAGAAAACGTAAAACATCACAAAAATTAGATATCGATTATCACTAACTTATATATAATTTATTTGTCGCCAACACTAAAAAATCTTATAAAACTATCGCCAAATAACGCGCTAATTGTTTATACGTTTGTTTTGTCCATTAAAACACAATTTCCTCTCATTCTGTGTGCAGAATATTGTTTATATTTATAATATTATATTTTTCCTAATATATTAAAAATATATAACGATTTTCTGTCACATAATATACCGGTATATATCAAAGTGCATCGAAATTATTAGCTATTAGTTAGTGATATAATAGGAAACGTAAAAATAAATACCAATTTTTCATGTCAACTGCAACTAAAATTCAATTTCTTATTCAATTCTGTATTAATTTTTTTTCAATGAATAACATTTCGCAAACTGTTGTAGAATTAATAAATGGATGTAAATCTCTGTTACTATTCTCAAGCTCATTTTGTATTAATTAAATGCTTGCAAATTAATTAAATCTAAAGTTAATTATATTTTTAGTCTGAGATTTTGTTTTGAGTAATTAGTGTTGAAATTTATTTTGGTTGCCATTGATTTTGGCACATAGTTTGTCACTTACTTTAGGGCTCAATCAGACTACTCAAGAATTTCCAATAAATTCTACATTTTACTGATTTATAATTACATTTTTGGTTTTATCGAGTGTGTAAATAAATTTACAGAATATTCTTATTTATGTGTATAGTGAAGTAAATATTGTACTACTGTATAACCCTAACAATGTATACATTTTATATTAGAGCATATTATAAATTTTAATACATATAAAAATTTTAATTTTACCAATTTATATGTACATTATTAAAATATAATCTCGTTATTCACGTCTACATTATCTCATTTTTAATACAAGATATTCTATAAGATTCTCGTAAATGATAATAGCTTGGACATTAATCTACTCTTATTCACAAAATCTTATTAATATTATCACATCAATAATAAAAAATATTTTTATGAAAAAATCTAATTCTGTATTAAATTGACCCAAATAATAGGCGCGACTGGAGATCGACCGCAATGGTAACGGCGCCGTCATATTTGCCTACGCGTTCACAAACGGTCGACGCCGTTCATCGGCCCGATATCTGCAGCTGCACTATACCCTCAGCGTGATGCCCGGTCATGGAGTAGCGTACGCTCAGCACGTGGCTTTGATGTATAGCTACCTGTTGGCTGACCTGTTAGACACACATCACGGGTGTCGGCTCCGGATGAACAGGTACAATAGCCTCGGCAGGAGCTGTAATAACAAACAACAGACGACCTCCCAGTCCTCCAACGCCGCCACCACTACCGAACAGCACCTGAGCCTATATTGGGCAGCCATTCAACAACTGCCACCCGAACACATCCACAACGAAGTGATTATTTGATTCTTGTTATGAATTCTATCGCAGAATATTCTTTGAATTTTTTGTTTTTGATTTTATTTTGGGTTATTATTATTATTATTATAACAGATATTATAGTGAGAATTCCCACATTAAACCGGAATATTCTTTAATAATATGGTTAAAGAGTTTTATGGCTCTAAGGGCTTGGGATTAGAGAAGCTATTATCGATTCGTTATATCGTATGAATACTATTGCAGAATATTCTTAAACAATTTCTCTAATATGTTTTGCATAAGAATTATTTCCGAATTCTTATACCGTAGTTATAAATAGATATTTTCACACGAATTACAACAGAATATTCTTTAATTATGTAGTTAAAGACTATTTTATGACTCTAAGGGTTAGGGAGGTTAGGGATTACAATCTTATGGCGATTGTTTGCGAATCTTTATATAAGATCTTTATATCGATTTTATGTTTTGTATGCCCTTTGATCATACCGTGAGCCATAAATATATGACAACCTTTAGGTCTATTGTAATCCCATTGTTATCGCATTTAATAGGATAAGAAATTTTGGTTTAAAAAATCTAATTCTTATTATATTTTTTATTTTCAAAAATCTAGTCATCAATCGAGAGTACAAAATGTTTTGACGCCAACGGAGATCTACACCTACTCCTGCCATACATATCGGCTATGACGGACACGCCCGCGTATGTACACGATTAACGATTAGCAATTCTGATAAAACAACGACAAAAAAAACAACGAATGTAATGAGACTCTTTTGTGAAATGTGTTTAACATTTTAATTAAGCCATTAATTATTGTAACGATGAGCGCACAGGAAATAAATTTTGATACTTAAGCCCCTGGATGTATATATGTGTGTGTGGGGACCGGTAGTGATAATCTTTCAGATAATAAAATTAGTTATTTATGCACTTTTCTTACTAAAAGTGTTTTACAAATCAAAAAATACTCAAATCTTGATTTATTCATGTCTTATACAGCATTTTTATACAGTATACCATTTAATATCATGTACAGTATATCATTTGTATACAATTGCTATGTGGGGTAACCCCTTTCCCATTAAGTCATATCATGTTTTAATGGTTTCATAATAATAGACCAATTAATTAATATGTCCTTTAAATACAATTGTAATTATTATCGCATGCGTTGCGTAATAAAACAAGTTGTGAATCTGTTTTTAAAAAAAACTCCTGTTCCCATTCAGCCCTTCCTATTTGGTACACAAAACACACTACACTGTCTGGTGACATACTGTTCCCCTATACTATCCGATGGCTATCTGATAAGATTGTTTCTCACATAATATTCCCTCTTTTTAATTAAATACACGAATAATAAGTGTGTATCACTTATAATGATAGCCCAATGAACATAGTATTGAAACGCGTTATCATCCAAAAACCCATCACCCGTTACAGTGAATTGTAATTATTTTACTAATTTAGCAGAAGTTAGAAAATTTTTTGCAGATTTTTAGACTGTTTTATACTAATCATATGATTTTTTAAATAAATTACTTTTATTTACAATATGTTATCAAATGTTTATTTAATAAAAGTGCAAATATTTTGTGTTAATTCGACATTAGGTTCGAGGGCATAATTAGCACACAACACACACCTAAATATAACATAATAAGTCACTAATTAATAAACTGACACTCAATTTCGTTACAAAACTATATAACGTAACAACTAATTAATACACTCATTATTAATACACTAATAATACTAAACAATAAAAATCGCCACAAAATAGTCTAATAATAAATTCAATACTTAATTATAACACTTAACATAACATTGAAACTAAAAAAGTCTAATTAATTATTTGATTATCTTATTGCACCTCCAGATGAGTCGGCGTACTACGAGTGCCATTACGCTCCCTGTGCTCGGATAGAGCGCGAGCCCCGGCAGTTCTCCATATGCGGCCGGTGCCAGGAGACCAGGTATTGCGGCACTCAGTGCCAGCAACGGGACTGGCCCTACCATAAGAAGTATTGCCGCGAACGGCCGCACCGGGACGTCGCCCAACAACAGCCTCTGCTACCGCACCGGACGTACGGACTGCCCGACAGATAATCGCGTATATCCGACGAGTTTATCGCCGATAGTATACATAAAACAAATACATACCGTTTAGTCGATTGCGTGAATTAGTATATATACATTACATTCAAACAAAAAAGCTCTATAACAGAATATTCTGAACCCGAAAAAGGTGTCCGAATCGTTTTTTATCGAGTAAAAAGTGTTTTAATGTATTTTACATTTGTGTTAAATAGTGAGTTATATAAGAATATTCTGTTTGTTTTTAACAATTAATATTACGCTAAAGAATTTCGTTGCCGTTGTGTCGTTGAGATGATACCCTGATGTTTGTTTCATACGGTTTACCTACTATTTCATATTACGCTCTGTATTACGAATTATCGCATGAATTATTGGCTATAATTAACGTGAAAATCGATGACATTTTTTGTTGTGTTCACTTTGTTTTGTGCGATAAAAATGATTTTTCATTGAAATTTTACTAATTCAATTACTAATCGTTAGTTTACAAACAAAACACACACACAAACAAATCATTTGCTTTCAAATGCTAATTATTATCGAAACAGAATTACACTTTGAAATCCCATTTGAAACACACTATTCATGCGAAAGAATTTTTACTCATTTTTTAAATACAAACAACAAATGTAACAAAACTCCACTCATTATTATGTAAAGAATATTTTTATTTAATTATCATTATTTTAAATAATTAATTATTTATGTAATTATATTTTTATTATTATTATAATTCCTATTATTTTTTCAAAGATATTCACGGAATTCCAGTTTAATCCATGATTTTATGAATTATCTCTTAACCAAAGTTTTTCAATTATTTAATCCATTAATCTGTGATTTATTCGCACAAAAAATTTATTATTGAATAAAATAATAAACTTCTTTCAGAATACAAATGTCTTTTATTTCCTTAATATTTCTTAAATTTATTTAATGAATAAAACTTCGAGAGAGAGAGAGAGAGAGAGTCGGTATATAAAGCACACAAATATTTCAGAGAAAAGCAATTGATCTTTATTTTTCAAAACACTATTTGAATCGAAGTTTACAATCAATTAATTACTTATCAAAAAAACAAACAGTGAATAGATATACAGATTATGTGTGAAAATAATCAAACGATTGGCGGTTAAAGTGGTACACAATTAAAGTTATAACAATCATTACAAACTAATCATAACTATAATTGCAGTGAAATCTCATGGAATGAATGCAAACACAAAAAAAATAAAGGATTGTTTGGTTTCGGGAGATAACAGACCACAAGAAATGTGTCACAAAAGCCAATGGGAAGCACAGAAACGAGACAATCGTTTGATTACAAAAGCAAAATATATAATATAATTAATTAATTAATTAGAGAAAATTTAACGCAAAAAATTGATTACAAGTAAAACAATACGCGAATCGAGAAATAGTCCACAAATACGATCATTAATTAAACAGAAAAACAAAACATTATTATTATTACTCTCAATGGAAATGTCGTGTTTTCGTGACTCAAATAGCGCTCAAAATGGGACCGAAAAAAATAAATCAAAAATCAATTCACTATTTAATTAAATAAATTGTAATCGCAATCGACGGGCGCGCCTAACGTTTGCCATTATTGTAGCCCATGGGCCGGACGGGGGTCTTAAAGCTATTGGCCGCCTGTTGCTGGAGCTGATAGGCCAGGGGGTGGATTTTAAAGCCGTACAGACGCGGGAAAAACTGATTGATGGGCCGTTTGGGCCGGTATTCCGGGTGAACCATAAACAGCATGTGAGGGAAACCGCTGCCAAAGTAGGCGCCGTCCGTGTGGTGGTGTCGCGAGCTCTTCGGGTTGTAGATATCCATACACTTCGGACAGTAGAGCTTCACCATAGCCTCGCCGGGCAGGTCCGACAGCCCGATGGGAAGCATCGTCTGGTTCTGCGTCATGTGAGCCCCTGTCATGGGCTTCAGCGGCAAAACCATGAAGAGCTAGTAGACGCGCTACGGGGATAACCAGTCATACTTCGCGCGCACCTAGTCGGGTATGTCGTAGAGTCGGCGGACAAGGATGAGGTCACTCTACAGGGGGTGCACAGGGAGGTGGGTGTGGGTGTGTCCGGTCGGGTCGACATACGGGAGACGATACACGGAATTAGTAATCAATTGATAAGTATTTCAGATAATGAGTGATCTGTGAGGTGCGAGACATGAGTTTGTTTTAATGGCGATAGTCTGCGGATCAGTTACACGAGTGAATGAATGGTTTCACTCATGAGTTTACACTCAATTTGTGTCCACTATTTATACATTACGCCAATGAGTGGCCATTGAATGTGTCAATCAATGGACTATTACCACACATTCAGTGATAATAAGAACACTCAATGACTATTACACGCAATCGTATGCACCACTCATACGTCTGCCACCAACTCATCCACCAATCCGTCGACTATCACCACAAACCCACTCATGTGTGCGCTGGCGATCATCACCACCACCTCATCCGCCATCACGTGCTGGTCTCTCAGCCATACCTGATTGGGGTTCTCCTCGAGCTCGTCGTCGGGCTCTAAGTCGAGGATCATGTCGAGCGCCTGTCGATAGTGGGGCACCGACTCCGACAGTCCCGTCAGATTGAACTTGTCGTGGATGTAGTCTTCGTCCACTTCGCAGAAGTACTCATTGCCTCTGAGGCCGCAAAACCACGAAATCCATGAAACCTCTTCCGACGACGACATGTCCTCGGAGGCCAACACTGTCCCGGACGACACCGCCAGTCCCTCTCAATCGCACCGACAGTACAGCACTGGTATGTCAAGTGTAATGGCTTTGTGGCGACGGTTAACACGTGTCACACGTTTTGTGTGTTTAGTATAAGCGGTGAACTGATGGTCACAATCGGTGTCCAAATGGTGTGGCGAACCGATGGCATAGACTAGACGTACGGCTCATACAAACACTGTGTCGACGACTACTCCTTTTAACCATCCATTCACTCAACGATACTATCGATACGTTCGCAGCAAACGATTCATACAAATGCACATCAATTACGTCCACTTTTTTTGGTGCAAATGTCGTGAATACAGTTGAGAATCGCAAGAGTTTTGTGTTATTTTTAGTAGCAAGGTTATTTTCGTAAATTAGTTTTTGTAGCAAAAATTTAAAGTATTTAATTAATCTGATATTGAGAAATATATTTAGCGTATTCCGCTAACAGTTGCAATAAGTTTGTATAGTTATAAAACTAAATTGTGTGACTTGCAAAGCACATGCACAGAATGTTCTAGCTACTATTTATGCTATTTATATGAACTTGCGCATTTTGAGTACAATAAAGTTATTAAAGTTATATTAAAGTTATACAAGAATTGATTGCACATAACGTTTGAAATAATTATGTTTTATTACATATTTTAGTAAATATGTCGTAAAATCGATATGTTTTTTGAGTTAATTTTCACTCAAATTATTCAAACAATGTTAACGTAAATATTATACAATACACAGTATTTTACCGTAAATTTCTTATTAAAAACCAGTTCTTATAATAATATAAAGTTTTTTTTTGTGTGTAAAATAATGTCTCAAAAGTATAGTAAAGACTCTTTCGATAGATTTGGTGATGACTTGTATGAAGACTTATTGAGTTATCTATCACTGGAGGACTGCATCCGATGTGAATGTCTGTCCAAACAGTGCCAACGACTCGTATATAACAGTCAATCGTATTTCGTCGGCGATTGGCGGCTAAGAAATAAACTAACGATTAGTATCACCAAAGACTTGACACCCGTTGAGACACTATTGAAAAAGTGTCCGAATATTCGTTACATTGATTTCTATATGAATAATGAAATCATTGACTTAATAGTCAAACACTGCGATCGACTCAACGATATTAACCTCAGAATTAGCCCCGAATTGAGTGCTGAAAAAGTTGACAAACTGTTTGCAAAGTTTGCTAAACATTTGAAAACATGTCGTTTAGAAAGTGATAACAAATTAATTGATACGAAAGCGCTGTTAAAACTTTGTGTTAATTTAAATGTTTTAAATTCACATCATTTCCGAGATATTAGCGATTTATTTGACACTAATAATGATGTATTGTTTCCCAAATTAACTAAATTTGAGACAAACTATGGGCCGAGCGTTAGCCCACGTTTTATGGACTTATTTGTGGCAAACTATAGACATAGTATGAAATCAATTGATGTGACTATTAATAGTAATTGTGATGTGAAGTCGTATTTTACGCTAATTAACGGTTTGTCACAAATGGGGGCTTTAGTTGAGTTGCAATTAATTTACTATTATGTCGACGAGGAGTTGATTGAATTAATGGCTCAAAGTATGCAACAAATTGCCCTTAAATTACCACAACTCAAGAGTATTAAACTGTATTTTGTGTTAACAGCCGATGAGATAGTGTTGAATGAAATTAAGCAAACAATTCGCACGTATTTTAAGCGATTAAAGCGTTTGGATATCAGCGGCTATTTTAGCGATAGTTTGTCTGAATGCAAACGATTAACGCATTTAACGATTAATTCATGGGATCGTAAAACAAATGATGAATATTTACTATTAGTAAATATTAACGAAAGCCACCCTAAACTACTATATTTATCGCTTAACCACGCGTTGATCACTAATAGTGTATTGAATTCATTGGCAACACTCCGTAAAATACAAACCATTGAATTCAATGATTGCGAGTTTAAGTTGGGAAGTACTGTCACCCAAACTATGACCAAGGATTATGTAAAGTCTTATCTAAATAATGCAAAGACAATCATTAAACAGAATTTTTAGATGCAATAC